ACGATAAACAAAAGTTTAAAGAATTCGCAGCTAGAAAACCATCTCTTCAAAACATCCTAGCAAAAGTATTACAGGAAGAGGAAATGGAAAATAACAATGAAAACCAACAGTGGGAGGTAGGACAGTAAAGGGGGGGGGAACAATCAAAGAGGAAAACAAACAATGTTTAGTAACAGAAATAAACAAATATGGCTGGAAGAACAACCCATATCTCAATAATAACCCTAAATGTTAATGGCTTAAACTCACCAATTAAGAGACACAGGCTAGTAGAATGGATCACAAAACAAGACCCAACAATATGCTGCCTACAGGAGACGCATTTGATAGGAAAAGACATACATAGGCTGAAGGTGAAAGGTTGGGAAAAATCATATCACTCATATGGACTTCGGAAACAAGCAGGCGTGTCCATACTCATATCAAATAAAATAGATTTCAAGCCAAAGTTAATCAAAAGAGATAAAGAGGGACACTACATACTGCTTAAGGGAACCATACACCAACAAGACATAACAATCATAAATATTTATGCCCCAAACAATGGTGCAGCTATGTTCGTCAAACAAACTCTTCTCAAGTTCAAGAGTCTAATAGACCACCACACCATAATCATGGGAGACTTCAACACACCTCTCTCGCCACTGGACAGATCTTCCAAACAAAAGTTGAATAAGGAAACTATAGAACTCAATAACACTATTAATAACCTAGACCTAATTGACATATATAGAGTATACCACCCAACATCAAGCAGTTACACTTTTTTCTCAGCAGCACATGGATCCTTCTCAAAAATAGATCATATATTATGTCACAGGGCAACTCTTAGACAATATAAAGGAGTAGAGATATTACCATGCATCTTATCTGATCATAATGGAATGAAACTGAAAATCAACGATAAAAGAAGGAAGGAAAAAGCATACATCAATTGGAGAATGAACAATAGGTTACTGAATGATCAATGGGTTATAGAAGACATCAAGGAGGAAATTAAAAAATTCTTAGAGATAAATGAAAACACAGACACAACATATCGGAATCTATGGGACACATTGAAAGCAGTTCTAAGAGGAAAATTCATTGCTTGGAGTTCATTCCTTAAAAAAAGAAAAAACCAACAAATAAATGATCTCATACTTCATCTCAAAATCCTTGAAAAAGAAGAGCAAAACAACAGCAAAAGAAGTAGAAGGCAAGAAATAATTAAAATCAGAGCTGAAATTAATGAAATCGAAACAAAAGAAACAATTGAAAAAATTGACAAAACTAAAAGTTGGTTCTTTGAAAAAATAAACAAAATCGACAGACCCTTAGCGATGCTAGTGAAGAGAAGAAGAGAGAGAACTCAAATTACTAGCATACGGGATGAAAAAGGCAATATCACAACAGACACTTCAGAAATACAGAAGATAATCAAAAACTATTTTGAATCCTTATACTCCAATAAATTAGAAGACAGTGAAGGCATAGATAAATTTCTTAAGTCATATGATCTGCCCAGATTGAGTCAGGAGGATATAGAAAACCTAAACAGACCAATATCAATTGAGGAGATAGAAGAAACCATCAAAAGACTACCAACTAAGAAAAGCCCAGGTCCCGATGGGTATACAGCAGAATTTTACAAAACCTTTAAAGAAGAACTAATACCAATACTTTTCAAGCTACTTCAGGAAATAGAAAAGGAGGGAGAACTTCCAAATTCATTCTATGAGGCCAATATCACCCTGATACCTAAACCAGACAAAGACACTTCAAAGAAAGAAAACTACAGACCAATATCTCTAATGAACCTAGATGCAAAAATCCTCAATAAAATTCTGGCGAATCGGATACAAAAACATATAAAAAAAATTGTACACCATGATCAAGTAGGATTCATCCCTGGGATGCAAGGCTGGTTCAATATACGGAAATCAATAAATGTTATTCACCACATCAATAGACTTAAAAATAAGAACCATATGATCATCTCGATAGATGCGGAAAAAGCATTTGACAAAGTACAGCATCCCTTTATGTTCAAAACTCTAGAAAAACTAGGGATAACAGGAACATACCTCAATATTGTAAAAGCAATCTATGCTAAGCCTCAGGCTAGCATTATTCTGAATGGAGAAAAACTGAAGGCATTCCCTCTAAAATCTGGAACAAGACAGGGATGCCCTCTCTCTCCACTTCTCTTCAACATAGTTCTCGAAACACTGGCCAGAGCAATTAGACAGACGAAAGAAATTAAAGGCATAAAAATAGGAAAAGAAGAAATTAAATTATCACTATTTGCAGATGATATGATTCTATATCTAGCAGACCCAAAAAGCTCTACAAAGAAACTATTAGAGCTAATAAATGAATTCAGCAAAGTGGCAGGATTTAAAATCAACACGCATAAATCAAAGGCATTCCTGTATATCAGCGACAAATCCTCTGAAATGGAAATGAGGACAACCACTCCATTCAAAATATCTTCAAAAAAAATAAAATACTTGGGAATCAACCTAACAAAAGAGGTGAAAGACTTATACAATGAAAACTACAGAACCCTAAAGAGAGAAATAGAAGAAGATCTTAGAAGATGGAAAAATATACCCTGTTCATGGATAGGCAGAACTAACATCATCAAAATGGCGATATTACCAAAAGTTCTCTATAGGTTTAATGCAATGCCAATCAAAATCCCAATGGCATTTCTTGTAGAAATAGAGAAAGCAATCATGAAATTCATATGGAAAAATAAAAGACCCAGAATAGCAAAAACAATGCTAAGCAAGAAGTGTGAATCAGGCGGTATAGCGATACCAGACTTCAAACTATACTACAGAGCAATAGTAACAAAAACAGCATGGTACTGGTACCAAAACAGGCGTGTGGACCAATGGTACAGAATAGAAGACACAGAAACCAATCCACAAAACTACAACTATCTTATATTTGATAAAGGGGCTAAAAGCATGCAATGGAGGAAGGATAGCATCTTCAACAAATGGTGCTGGGAAAACTGGAAATCCATATGCAACAAAATGAAACTGAATCCCTTTCTCTCGCCATGCACAAAAGTGAATTCAAAATGGATCAAGGAACTTGATATCAAATCAGAGACGCGCCGTCTGATAGAAGAAAAAGTTGGCTACGATCTACAGTCGGTGGGGTCGGGCTCCAAATTCCTCAATAGGACACCCATAGCACAAAAGTTAATAACTAGAATCAACAAATGGGACTTACTCAAACTAAGAAGTTTTTTCTCAGCAAAAGAAACAATAAGAGAGGTAAATAGGGAGCCTACATCCTGGGAACAAATCTTTACTCCTCACACTTCAGATAGAGCCCTAATATCCAGAGTATACAAAGAACTCAAAAAATTAGACAATAAGAGAACAAACAACCCAATCAACAAATGGGCCAAGGACCTGAACAGACACTTCACAGAGGAGGACATACAGTCAATCAACAAGTACATGAAAAAATGCTCACCATCTCTAGCTGTCAGAGAAATGCAAATCAAAACCACCCTAAGATACCATCTCACTCCAGTAAGATTGGCAGCCATTAGGAAGTCAAACAACAACAAGTGCTGGCGAGGATGTGGGGAAAAGGGTACACTTGTACATTGCTGGTGGGACTGCAGATTGGTGCAGCCAATTTGGAAAGCAGTATGGAGATTTCTTGGAAAGCTGGGAATGGAGCCACCATTTGACCCAGCTATTCCCCTTCTTGGTCTATTCCCTAAAGACCTAAAAAGAGCATGCTACAGGGACACTGCTACATCGATGTTCATAGCAGCACAGTTCACAATAGCAAGACTGTGGAACCAACCTAGATGCCCTTCAATAGACGAATGGATAAAAAAAATGTGGCATTTATACACAATGGAGTATTACTCTGCATTAAAAAATGACAAAATCATAGAATTTACAGGGAAATGGATGGCATTAGAGCAGATTATGCTAAGTGAAGCTAGCCAATCCCTAAAAAACAAATGCCAAATGTCTTCTTTGATATAAGGAAAGTAACTAAGAACAGAGTAGGGACGAAGAACAGGAGAAGAAGATTAACATTTAACAGGGATGAGAGGTGGGAGGGAAAGGGAGAGAGAAGGGAAATTGCACGGTAATGGAAGGAGACCCTCAGGGTTATACAGTGGAGGGGGTAGAGAGAGAGGAGGGGAGGGGAGGGGAGAGGTGGGGAGGGGGGAGGGTGGATGATGGGAAAGGCAGCGGAGCACAACAGACACTAGTATGGCAATTTGTAAATCAATGGATGTGTAACTGATGTGAATCTGCAATCTGTGTATGGGGTGAAGGTGGGAGTTCATAACCCACTAGAATCAAAGTGTGGAATATGATATGTCAAGAAATTTGTAATGTTTTGAACAACCCACAATAAAAAATTAAAAAAAAAAAAAAAGAAAAAGGGCCAGATGGGGAAATATGTAACAGTATTCCAATGATATTTTCCCTCACTGAGAAAAAATATAGAGCAATTAAACCTTTTTATTTCAGCAGCCCTACTGGTTAACATGTTTGTACAATGATAATGATAATGATAAAGAATATGGATAATTAAATAGATGGATCAGGGTAGAGGATTTACTATAAAGCTAGGGGATATTCTAAGATCTAAGTATATAAAAGAGAAAATATTAACCTTCAAACACACAAACTTGAAAAGTATTTACAAATTCTAAATCTAATTTGCCTATTTATTGATAAGGGCAGATTATATAACAAAGTCAAACTGTTATTTTAGAGAAATAAGAATATTTAGGTTAATAAATACCTTTTCCATTTTAGTCAGTCATGAATTTTTGTTTGTTGTAAGCCAAAGAAAATTTCATATATATAATATTGGTCAGTTCATGTGGTTTTGCATTAAAGAACATGCAATTTGATGGGTCAATCAAAATATATTAGAATATGATACTCTTAAATGTGCCTATCTTCCATGTAAGCACAATCCTCAAAAAGAATTTCCGGTTACTTGCTATTCTCTCTTACCCCTTCTTTAGGGTCTGTGTGGAGTCCTCCACCAGCGTGACCATGCCAACATTTCCTCTTTTCTATCAGTGGCCATGTCTGGAGAGCCTAGTTAAAAATGATACCAAGCAACCCATTAGCTTTTACAGAATTTCAGAAGTTTAAAAGTCTGGATTCAACATTGTAATCTAATGAATATCCCCAAAACAAATTCAAAGGCATTGATTTTAGCCTGGCATAGTAAAGCAATACACCTTCAGAATTAACTTATAGCTAAATTTATATAAGGAATACTGAGAAATAACAAATACTCACATGGAAGTCACTTTCTCTAAATAGCTTTTGCAATTAATATTTAAAAGATTTAACTTGTATTACACTTTTGACTTAATCTGTCTCTATTATTGTCATTCACTACTGTAGTTGGTAATCTATTACTCTATTATTGGCAAACAAGGATAATATATATTTAATTTATATATCACTTGCTTTTCTTGTGCATATATTTTTGTCTTACAATTAAAATGTTGATTTTACACAACTGATACTTTTTCTTATTATTGTGGCTAATGTACTTATTTAGAAATATTACGTTTTAATATTTCAGTCTATATTGTGCTATAGCTATTTGTTAGCACATTTTGTCTTTCCTCTTACACAGTAAATTTCTTAAGATTAGAAACAGTATCTTTTGTCTTTTTATCTCCCATGGTACATACCACAGTGTCTTATATACCGGCGAATGCTTGTTAGGTTAGCTTATAAAATAGCATTATCTACAAATCTCCCAACTAGCCTTACCTATTATCTTACCGATTATAAATTTTTTCATTATCTTACCTTAGGTTGTTGCTATAATAATTAACAAGATACAAACAACAAGGCTTAGAATTTAGGCTTATTAATATTGAAAGTGCTTTAACAATTAAAAAAAAATACTTAATTAAGAACACAGACTTAGTGACATAGTTTGGATCTGGAATGTCCTCCAAAGACTCATGTGTTGAAGACTTGGTCTCCAATTGGTGGCGCTATTGGGAGGTGGTGGAAACTTTAGGAGGTGGAACCCAGTTGGAGGAAGCAGGTCACTGGGGGCATGTCTGATAAGGGTACACCTTGTCAGTCCCCTGCCTGTCCCTGTCCCCGCCCCTGTCTCTGTCTCTCCTCTACCCGCCCTCTCTCCCCCATGTGCCTGCCTGCCTGCTTGCCTGTTTGTCTCTCTTTCCCACATGCCATGAGAGAAGCAGCTATGCTCCATCACATGCTCTCTGCCATAATGTTCTGCCTCACCAAAAGGCCCAAAGAGACAGGACCAAGTGACTGTGGACTGAAACCATGAGACAAAATAAACCTTTCCTTCTTTAAGTTCATGTTTTCAAGTATATTGCCACAGCAGTATAAAGCTAACTAACATAATGATGCTTTTTCAGTATTCATAATAATCAGTAGTTAATAAACCAGGACAGAGTCCTTTACAAACACAAACATGTATTGATACTATATATAGCACATAACAATATCAGCTCAGGTCCAAGTTATGAAAATGGAATTAAAAAAAGCAAAAGTAACTTCTTGTTCTCACCAGTTGAGACACAAAAAGCAATTGCTATAAATGGGTTACTGATTTTTAGATCAACAACCTTAAAGTATTTTGTAAAAGAAAAACATCAAAAGGTAATTTTTAGTCTGGCAATGCCTCTCTATGACACATTTTTTCCTCTAAAAGGCTGAGCAACAACTTTTATAAAGGGTTTGTTGCATATCACACACAAGATAATGAGGTCTTCAACAAAGCAAAAAACTAAAATATAAATAAATTTAGTGGTATCATGGGCAATAAGATTAAGCACACTTTCCCCTTAAAGCTTTAATTTAATAATAGAAAATCTAATTAATTTCTATAGTTTCTGCATAAATTAGAACAATGCCTTGTACCTTAGTGGCAAATAATTATTAATCAGAAATAAAAAATACAGAAGTTCCAAGGATTTAGACCATCTTCTAATTTTTCAGTCTTTTTCTATCGTGGAGATTTACGTGTCTCATTTTAAAGCACTGGGAATTTTTAAAGATGTCTTTCACTTACATTAGCAATGAAAAATAACCCTCATCAACATGTAAACTCAGCATCACTTACCCCATGGGCTCTAATAAGCTTAGAATCCCTTGGTATTCTGCTATCTGAAAATCTTAACTCACTTGAAAAACTACAGCACTCCATATATCAGGTACAAATTACCAGGATAAATTTAAGTGTCAACAAGCTGCCATTACTTGTATAAAAGCTTTATGAAAAATGTTATTCCCGTTGGCACTGATCTCAAGAGATTCAGATAGATTTCTCCAGGGGTAGAAAAAATATCAAGATTTTTCTCTACATTTCTAGTAACAGTAACATACCTTCGTGCCAGTATTTAGAAAAATGTGAAATGGGTAATTATTTGGGAAATATAAAACATATGTAGTATAAATTGGAAAATGTTATAAGGGCTTCCACACTTTTCCTACTATATGTAGATGTACTGGCTTAATCTTACCTTTGTAGCATCTAATAACAGTCTTGAATTGTCTCTTCCCCATCTCTGCCATGTAGCATTTCTTAATGACTCTGGGACCTGAAAAGAAAAAAGGGGGGCAGAATTTCAGAGTGGACACTTACATGTCCCCTAAAACTCAAGTGTTGAAGACATGATCCCCAGCTGATGACCCTATGGAAGCTGGTGGTAACTTTAGAAGGTAGGGACTAGTTGGAGGAAATAGGTAACTGGGGGGTATGCCTTGAAGGGTATATTAGGAACCTGGCTCCTTCCTCTTTTTCTGTTTTCCAGCTGCCATGAGGTGAGGAGCTTTGTTCCACCATCCACTCCCTGCCACGATGTTTTGCCTTGCCATAAGCCCAAAACAACAGGAACAAGTGACTGTGGACTGAAAACCCTGAAACCATGAGCCAAAATAAACCTTTCCTTTTTTTTAAGGTATTAATTTCAGATATTTTTTTTCACAGCAATGGAAAGTTGACTAACACATAAATAATCCTAAAGTTAAAACCATAGCAATGTTATAGAACTGGTTATGTTTTGAACACATGTCTGAAAAGCAAAAATATCAAATTTATGGTCCAGCTATAGAAAGTAAGTTATATTACCCATTAAAAATGTCAAATTCTCTAAACAACAGCAGATGGGGTAGAGAGGGAAGATGAGAGGGAAGGGGAGGGGGGATAGTAGGGGATAGGAAAGGTAGCAGAATACAACAGTCATTAATATGGTATTATGTAAAAATGTGGATGTGTAACCGATGTGATTCTGCAACTTGTATTTGGGGTAAAAAATGGGAGTTCATAACCCACTTGAATCAAATGTATGGAAGATGATATGTCATGAGCTTTGTAATGTTTTGAACAACCAATAAAAAAATAAAAAATAAAAAAAAGTCAAATTGTATTTTATTTTTATCCCCCTTTTCTATAAGTTTCTGTTTTAGTTAGCTTTTTTGCTTCTGTGACCAAAATATCTGACAATAACAACACAGTGAAGGAAAAGTTTATTTGGAGCTCACAGTTTCAGAGGTCTCAGTTAATTTCATTGCTATGGGCCCCAAATGAAGGAGAACATTAAGGCAAAGAGTAGGGAGGAGGAAAGCTGCTCAGGACATGGCAACAAAGAAGCAGATAGAGAGTTCTACTCATGAGGGACAAAATATATACCCTAAAAGTATGATCCCAGTGACCTACCTCCTCCAGTCACATCCTATCTGCCTATGCTCACCACCCAGTTAATCCATTCAAGTGTATTAATGCACTGATTAAGTTAAGGCTTTTATAACTCGATCAGGTGACCTCTCAACTTTCTTGCATGGTCTCACACATGAGCTTTTGGGGGACATCTCATAACTAAACCATAATAGTTTCTGTCTTTGTTTCTCTTCTTTTTTTATATCTTTATTTCTTAAAGCCCCCAAAGTCTTCAACCTCATTTCTTTCTTAAATGGCTTTTACACTTTTTTCAAACAATCCTCTTTTATTCTAACTCCCTTACTGTGTTTAATTGTGCTCTACCAAATGTCTGTTCCCTCTTTAGTCTTAATCTGAATAAATAAATATAGATACCAGTCACAAGATTTGCCAAACAATTCTATGTAACTAGCTGATGGAATCCAATGAAAGTTTCCTCAGGGGGCATTTTTTTTTCTTGGTAATATTCCAGAAGAAGAGCTGGAAAAGGCAGAATAAAGAATCTCTCCATGGTAATACCAAATAGCTGTAAAATGGACACATATCTTTGTGATATGCATCATGGATATAGTGAGGAAAGCTTCACTTAAGTCATGTTTCTCCCCAAAAGGCAAGTAATACTTAGGATTTCCTAAGCTATATGTGGGTTGTACAGCTGGATAAATGCCTCAACATAAAAAAAACAATGTTGTACACTGCAAAATACCAAAAACTAAATAATCAATAGCAACAAAACACCTCCATACACAAATAAGTAACCAAGTTATTGAGAAAATTAGCCCAGATGTTTCCTAAAATGTAATAAATAGTTGATTTGCTTATATATATTTATAAATATTTTTTTTTGAAAGAGAGAGAGAGAGAGAGAGAGAGAGAGAGAGAACTTTAATATTTATTTTTTAGTTTTCGGCGGACACAACATCTTTGTTTGTATGTGGTGCTGAGGATCGAACCCGGGCCACACGCATGTCAGCAGGTGAGCGCGCTACCACTTGAGCCACATCCCCAGCCCTATATTTATAAATATTTAATGCAATTCCTAATATAGGAAGATCTCAATAATACCAATGGCTGTTTGCACACTGTTGGGCTGAACTAAAGCTCCTACCCCATTTCATATACCCTCTTTACCACAATAATCAAGCCATTCACTATCAATGATGCCCTTCTGGTGCTTAACTGCACGTTTTCCTCATTCCCCCTTTCTCCATATTTGGCTCTCGCACAAGCTTTATTCCCCCACTTTCTTGTTTTTTCACAAGACCTTAGTTTGAGTAACTACATCAAAGCAAGATCTTGCCTATATTTGTACTTGCATCTGCAATTTAATCTGCCTTTCACAACTTGTCCGGTTATCTCAAGTAAATGACTCTTCTCTCCTTGCTCAAAACCATGCCTATATATGGCTGCTAGATAAAAGACTGTTGGCAATATACTTAAATTAACAGCAAAAACATATTCTGAAGTGTTACTTTGCACAATGAGATAACCACCATCAAACCTAAGTCCTTGAAAGAAGTCATAAAACCCCTTCAGAAAATCTAGCTACCTCTTTATACTTCTCTAATCCAACTGGTTTTTTTCCCTTAAGCATCAGTATTCAAGGTAAATAATTTCTGAATGTTCATATCCTAACTAAATTTTTAGTACTAAAACAGCATTGTTAAAATTCTCAAATATCTCAGGCATATAAAAAACAAAACACAATAAAATGAATACATGTGTACTCACACCCAGTCTAGTGTAAGAGATAAAAAAGAGAGTCCCTGACATATTCCTCTAAAATGTCATTACTCCTGTTCCCTAGAGATAACCAGCACTGATTATTCAAAACTTCTTTCATTTGGATAAAAATTTCAATCACATAATGGTATAACACCTTTAAGGGCTAGTCCTAGAACCTTACCCTATTGTGTCTATGGAAAAATGCTGAAATCTAAACAATAGACTAATAAACATTTCTAAAACAATTTGCTTTTGTAAATTAGAGAATAGCTCTAATTTTAAAATCCCAAGGGAAGGGTTTATAGCAAAACATCTTCCTCATACAAACTGAGGTAGGTGGACAATAGGAGAAAACAAGATTAATTCTACGAAACTTGATTTGAAAATTAGAGGTTTGGATTAGTTGCCCTCTGTAGGCCATTTCAACTCTGAAATTCTATGATTTTTATGAAATGAAACAAAAAGCCTGGTATTATTAATAGAATTCTTTAAAAACATAACTGAGTAGATTATAACTTATTTCTTTAATATACCTAGCATCTGAATTTATTTAGAACACCATCCCTCCAAAGACATACAAAGTAATAAACCATATATTACTGAAGATAACAGACATGACAAATGTGCACAGCTACCAAAGAAATCAAGTGTACTGAAAATGATAATCTGCTAGTTCATTTTAAGAGGCAAGTTAAAATGTTTTCCCTAGAGATTTGTGTTTATTTCACCTAAAACAGAAGAAATTCTGGAAGAATCCAAAATTAAAGAATCTAAGACTTCTGAGCACAATAATGCATGTTCTCATGTAGGAGAGCACTTTCCATCTACTAATCATTAAATATATAAATCTTTGATAAACAGTTGAATGGGCATAAAGTCATGTTCTGTGCAGAAATTCAAGATTTATAAAATAATGCTGGGCGTGGTAGTGCACACCTGTAAGCCCAGCAACTTAAGAGGCTTCTGAAGCAGGAGGACCACAAGTTCTAGGTCAACCTCAGCAACTTGGCAAGGCCCTAAGCAACTTAGCAAGAACCTGTCTCAAAATTAAAAAAATAAATAAAAAGAGTTGGGAATGTAGCTCAGTGGTAAAGTACCCCTGGGTTTAATACCAATGTACAAAAAAAAAAAGATTTATTAAATGAATATTAATACTAAAATCATTGACCTCGTAGAAAAAAATTTTCTTTAAGTAAATGAGATCAAGACTCAAGAGAAAAGAGTAATAAAATCGAAACCCATTCACATTACAATTATTTTTTTCCTTTAGGATAAAATTCAATCTTTACAATAAAAATTCTACTAATAAATTTAGTTAGTACTTATTAATGATGTTTAACTTTCATAATTTAATTTATGTTATGTTTATAACCCTTGAACTACCACCAAATTAAAAAAAAGAGAGAGAGATTAAAAAGCTGGGGATGTAGTTCACTGGTAGAACACTTGCATGGCATAAGGTCCTGGATTTGATTTCTAGCATTGCAAAAAGGAAAAAAATAAATAAAAAGTAATTTTAAAACAATGTACTCACTATCAACCCATCAAGGTTTTGGAGTCAATTACATATTCTATATTCCTGAAGCTTCAGGAACAAAAAGAAAGTTTACATCTGTTCATACAATATGCATGGAATGCTTAACAATGTAAAGAGTTAAGTGTGAATACTGTTAACATCTGATCATTAATCAACTGTGATCATAACCTAAAACATTTGCACTTAAGCTCTTAATACATTCTTAAAGAGAAACTGCTATGATTTAAAACTATATTTAGTGGGTTGGGGATGTGGCTCAAGTGGTAATACGCTCACCTGGCATGCGCGGGGTGCTGAGTTCGATCCTCAGCACCACATAAAATAAAAATAAAGATGTTGTGTCCACTGAAAAATAAATATTAAAAAATTCTCTCTCTCTCCTCTCTCTTTAAAAAAAACTACATTTAGTGTACTTTAAAAGTATAAAATTACAACATAAAACTTGATTTTCTTCTCAACTGGCTAGAAACTAGTTGGGGGTGAGAGGTGTAGGGGACAAAGAGGAAAAGGGAGAGAGAAAGAGAGAGAGGGAGACAGAATGGAATGGTAGGATGACTTCTTATATTTTTTAATTATAATTCTCAGCTGAAAGTTGAAGGATAAAGGATTTGTTTATTGTG